CCTGGTTCCACGACAGCCCAGAAGCTCTCATTTCCTCCTCGCACGATCTTCTCCATGTCACCCTCGGACGTCCAACTCGTCGCTTCCCCTGGGGATTCCACTCGAGCAACTGGCCTGATGCGTGATGTCCCCAGTCGGCCTTCTCAATGTATGCCCAATCCATCTCCACTTCCTCCTGCATATTTGTTGCGTGAAAGGGTTCTTGGTTGGTTCGTTCCCAGAGCTCCTTGTTGCTTATTTTTTCTGGCCATCTGATCTTCAGTAGCGAGCGTAAGCAGTTGTTGATGAATGTCTGTAGTTTATTGGAAATCCCTTTCGTGACGCACCAAGTCTCTGAACCATACAAGAGCACTGACTTGACGTTGGTGTTGAACATCCGTATCTTGTTCCGCATGCTGAGTGCAGAAGATCTCCACACTGGTTTCAGGCTAATGAACGCCTGTCTTGCTTTTCCAATTCTGACTTTGACGTCGAGGGTTTTTTCAACCCTCGACTACTAATCGTTAAATATTTCCGTTCTCACAACTCCGTATCATAACAGTATTCCTGAGGTACGACAGTGTGTGTTTGTGCATGATGGAAATCCTCATTCAGCAAGTGAAGTCATACGGAAATACTGGCTTCGGTGGCTTGGACATGTGTTACTCATGTCATCCCAACGGCTTTCATGTCGTTCATTGTTTGTTAACCCTGGGACTGGATGGAAGAAGTGAAGAGGTGGTCAGTATGTGATGTAGCGCTGCGGGATAAAGGATAGTTGTATTGGGTTAGCATCTGCTGTTGCATTACGACTCGCTGGGTTGGGTCCGAGAGATCACGCAACTCAGTAGCTTGGGACGTTATCAGATATGGCTCAAAATCGAAACTTGTGGTGGTCATGCTGTAGCTTTCTTCTATCTTCTGCTTCTGAAAAGTAGTAGGTGTTTCGTTTCGAATATACCTTAGTGGACTACCCTTATAATCATTATATTCTTATTGTGTTTTGTTTTTATCCACTTCCCTTCTCTTTCATGTTTTAATAATGTTATTTTATTTTGTATGGGGCATTTCTTGTTGCCCTTGCTGTACCACGTTTGTGTTCTAACCAATAAATGGATAATGTCTATGCCAGTTTGGAAAAATGTGTAGCATCATTAGCCTTCGCATGAGTTACGTCTAATAGTATTGTAAATAAACATGTATGAGGTTGTTACGTTGCATTTTTTTTTACCCGAAAGGATATTCAATAATTTACGCTTACGCCGTCTCCCGCTGAATTGGGTCATACATGTTTAAAGTTTGTAGACTGTCATCAAGGAGCTATGAATTAATTTTTCATAGTTATCAGCACACGTCGGGGAAGCACATCTATAGGCTTGAGGACACTGTAATCTAGAATATGGTAGTTAGAGACGTCACCACCGAGTTGTTCAATGTACTTTTCACTATGCACAAGCTGTAAGTTTAGGAATCATCACAGCTCACCATCAATACTGTCACACTTGAAGCAACATACGGACGTCAATTCAGTCAGTTTAACAATGAGGTTTTGTGTCTTGGAATCAGTAAATTATTACTTTGATTACCTTTTATAAAACCTACTGTTATCAATATATTGGCAAGCAGACAAAACCACTCGAAATCTGATATAACTATGTGTTGGTTCAAGCTGATATGCTTCACAACAGCATAGTCGAGAGAAATTGATATGACATATCTCTAAGAAATTAGGGATCGCTAAAATCTGATAGAAAGCAAGTCAAAATGGAATTGAAGGTGTAAGTGATGAGGTATGGTTGTTTTCATATCACTTACCGATTTCGGGCCATACTGTTCAACATATATCGAACCGTCTAAGCCTACTTCGTTAAAGACTCTAAACAGGAGTTTACACAGCAACTGATATTACTGCTACTGCAAGTATGTTTCATACTTCTGATATAGTTGGATTAGAAACTATTGTGATAAGGATATTCTCCTAAAGTAATTATTTGATGACAATAGTCTTGACTGTTTTTATAATCTTTGAAATTTGTGTTCGTTGTACAAACGAATCAGTAATCCAACTGATTAATCATTTCTGTTTGTAATTATACATGTGTATATTTACGTATATTTCTGTGAAGGAAACAGTGATCCGGTTGCTTCTTAATGAAACTCCTCTGGTAGATCCTGCGTCAATAAAGTGAGTGTCATGTAGCAAATTTCTTGATTTGCTTGCCTATATATCTTCTAATATTTCTGTTTGGGTTTGGTTCTATAGTAATTCTTAAATTTTTTTCGAAATCAGTGTTATAAACTCAGGATGAAGATATAAAAGGTGTTGTAAACTCACTAGTTTTCAGCTCTCTGTAGTAATAATGATAGTGTGAATGAGCAGCGGAGTACAAGTTCATACATCAGGTCATCAGCCACATCTAATGTGATGGTTGCTGATACTACTGGGTTAACTGTACCCAGGCAAATGAAGTGGGTTTGAATTCCTTACCCTCCTGGTTGAGAGTTAAATGCCTGAGCAGAAAGGCCAAAGCTACAATTCTGTACAGTAGTTGACAGAGAGAGAGAGAGAAGCTCAGATATTCATTATGGCCTATATGGCGAGTTATTGTAGATTTTTGCACGGAAGTTGGTATTTCTTACAGTTTACTAGATGATACTGTAGATTAGTGAATTGTGCGTTTTATTTCCAAACGATTACATCATGTATATAGTTCCTAATTCGCATTCTTGTCTATGAACTGAAAAAGGGTATCATTAGACCCTAACCAATAGTTATGATCATCAGTTCAATAGGTAGATATCTGTTTGATTCTTAGATTACTTTTTCTTACCTCTTTATTCAAGAACTCTGTTCATGACTTACTCAAGAATCATTGAAGAGAGGATTCTTTGCCTAAGTGTGACGCGTGAGGGGTAGGATATTTCTCTTGGTTATATAAATATGGTCTTTTAGTGACAGAGTAATATGATCGTCCGACCCTAGCGTTTATGACCAACGTTGTTGAGATTAACATTTTTATGTGCACTAAATCACTTGTTTCAATTTTATAGATTATGATACTTCGTGGACAGGTAATTCAACTGTACATGTAGATAGCTCAGTTTGTGAGAAAACACGAATAGTAAGCATCAGATTTCCTGTTCTGTTTTACGACACTAGGAGGAGCAAGCTGTTTAACCCACTGTGTGGTGGGTAAATTGTGCATATAAGACTTGGTAAATATATTCGAGATTAACCTGTGCAAGGTCGGTGTTAGAAGTGAATCAGAAATATCACATAGTCCAGAAAATTGCTACCAAGTAGATTCGTAGCAGTCAGCACTATGACTAGTGGGGAACAACACACAGGTGGTCACTGTATGACGTGGCATTGTGGGATAAACGATAGTTACCTTGGCTTAACATATGCTGGCGCACCACAGCTATTTAGGTGGGTACTAAGTGACCAGGCAACTCAGCAGTTAAAGACTCTATCTGTCAAATATGACTTAACATGGAGACCAGTATCGATCATGCTGTATGTTTCTTGTTTCTTCGGCCACCTAAAAATTAGGCAAAAGTCGTTAACCCTCCTTTGAGTGTATATTTGAAACTGTTCCTCTAGTAACCTATTTTTATTTTGGTTTCTGTTCTGTTATCGGTGCTTTATCGCCTTATTGTCTTTTTGTCATTTTGTATTGTATATTTCTTGGTGCTTATGTTTTTATCAAGTTTTGCGTTTTGCAATAATGTATTCTTCGAGGTGAATGGGGATTTTAATTTTGAGCAGCCGCGACCTGTGGAGTTAACCAGTCAGAAGGAAAGTGAATGGCAACTGAAGACCTTGGGTGATAGTCACGCTATATAGCGAATTGACGGAAGTTGAAGACTGTGAACCATTGAACTCTTACCCAATAGCTGAATGGTTAACGCATTCACCGTGAAACCTGAAGGTCCTGAGTTCGATCCATGATCGGGTTGTGGGTGCGTGTTGCTGAGGAGTCTCATACTAGAACGAAACAGCTGTCCAATCCCTTCATGTTTCCAATGGTTCTTCAACGGACATCAGTCCATGATGAATGCTACCTCATAATCATATATGTTAGTTGGTTGGAAAACAGTCAGCAGGAAGCCCTACCAACTAACATCTGTCAATGTGTATCACGATGCTGAGCCTCTTAGCTTGGTGACCACACTTCAAAAATGATCGATAGAATTCGGTCAACACTCAGGACTAGAAAACATAAAATTTATTGCTCTCCCATGACTAATCAATGTAAAATAATATATGAAGAGTTCGCTAAGACATGGTTGACTGAGGTGTACGTATTCTTCATTCTAACCTGATACTGTTTGTTAATATCTAATGTTGAAGACAGTGGTCATTGTACCTTTTAAGATTCATAGCATTGTGAATCCTGGAGATTTTAATGTTTTGTGAAAATCGAATTTTGAACACTTTTAGTAATCCAAAACCTTTTCGGCAAAGAGGATTAAACGATGAACAAACTGTTCATTTAAAATACTGAAGATTAATCAGCATTTAAATTTACGCCATTTTTTCCTCGGTAAATTGAACTTCCGTTTTTTTTATAGAGCGTGAAGGTGAAATTGTATTTTGTTGATTTAAAAAGCTGACTTTCAACTTATAAGTCATTATTTGTTATAAATATATGTAACGTGTTCTCTGTGGAACTTGAGGACTCTGAGTTTAATCTCTAGCCAGGTCGTGGGTACGTACTGCTAGGAAGTCCTTTACGGGGACGAAATAACTGTGCTGTACTCTCAGGTTTTTAATGGCTCTCCCACTGATGTTATAATGTATAGACTTTTCATGGATGTAATCAGTGGATCACTAGTTTTAAACTGCTGGGTTTATGGCGCTTAGATTGTATCATCAGCCTTAGCAAAATAAATGAGGTGCATATCTTGGTATACTAACTTGTATATGGTTATTGGATCGTGTAGTTATTCATATTCTTATTATTATTATTACGAAATCGGATAGTATATTTGGAAGATGAAGTTCGTTTGCAAAAGTTTATTATTATTAAAACGGTATTTTTCTTGCATTCTTACATTCCCCACTATCATAATAATAGTATTTTATCTAATCACAGTTTGGTAGCAATGATGGCTAGAGGTTGAGTGTACCTGCTGCTTGGTCAGTGATGTTCTTATCACTAAGTCTGGAAACTCAGAACCCATCGCTTCGGATGGCAAAACGTTATCTATCAAGCTATTATTATTTATTTGTCCCTTAGGTTCCTAGTGGATTATAGGGATTCAGTATCATGTCACCATTTCACTGTCTTCTCTGCAGTCTTTTAACCTGACTCTACGACTGTCCATAAACTTTCATTTCTTCCTCACATCATCTCCTCCACATCATCCTCGGCTCGGACACCCAACTCGTCGTTCCCCATTTGGGTTCCAATCGACGATCTGACCTGGCCTGCCACCTGACATCCCCAAATGGTCTTCTCAGTGTATGTTCAATCCAATGCATCTCCACTTTCTTCTACATATTTGTTGGGTGATAGGTTGTTGGTTGGTTCGTTGTCATCCAGGGTGAGTTCCTTGTTGCTCATAATTATTATTCTGACCATCTGATCTTCAGTATCGAGTGAGAATAGGTGGCGGCTGTTGAACATGTATGTCTAAAGTTTGTTGGAAATGCTTTTCGTAACGCGCTGCCAAGTCTCTCAACCATCACATAGAAGCACTGACTCACTTGACTGACATTGGTGTTGAAAATTCGGATCTTGTTCACACTTTATGCTGAGTGCAGTGCAGTGCAATGTAGTAGATCTCCACACTGATTTCACATTGATGAAGGCCTGTCTTGGTGTTTTTCCGGTCTTGGATTTGATGTCCTTATCTGTGACGCCGCCGCCGCCTGTAGTTGAAACGATGCTGCCTAGGTAGGTAAAAGAGTTGAGTTATGGTAACCGCTCTTTGTGTGACTGGCATACTTTAGCGTTATAGCCTACGATTGTCCGTCGGTGATATTACCGATTAGATTAGCTGCTGTATAGGCTGTTTATAGAGCCTATACGATACTATACTATTTCAAATAATTAGGCGTGAAAGATTTTGTCAGTATATTAAAAACGAGGATCTTAAGACTAGGTGGATGCTAAAATTTTACACTAAGGAGTTTAAAGGTGAGTGATAAAGGTGTGAAGATGAAAATATTTGAAAGTTTTTCTTTGTTTTCCCAAACTTTAATTCCTGGTGACAGCACACATAAAAAATAGTTCCATAGATGTATTGGAAGAAAGAAGTGAAGTGAGTGGGCCTGGTTTTTACATCATATTATCTTACCTACCAATGCTTTTTCAGCAATATAATTTCTCGCTATTCCACATAGCGTAAAGCATGAACTCTCTGTGGTTGTGTAAACATTCACCACAGGCTAAGCTGTATGTAGCCATCGAAGATTCGATTCTTTACCATTTAACACCGTAAGCAGAAACCCTGTCATTAAGGTGTTCAGGTAGCTTAGTGGGATTCAATACTCAATTCTAAAAACTAGACAGCGTGAAATTTATGTTGGTCTAATGACTGATACTGTGTTGAATCAAATCGACATCCACTGAGCAAGCGATGAGCTAAACCCTTTGTATGAGACCTACTGATGCTATCCTGCTGCCTAAACCTAGGTAGGAGATGGTGTATAGCATGTGGTAGCTAGTAACTGGTTAATATCTAATGTTTATTTCTTTTTTACTCGTAACTTTTACTCACATCTAGTTTATTTCCTCTTTATTTCTTCAGAGATGATGAACTCAAGAAGAAAGTGGACAGTTTTTTAGACGATCAAGCTCAATTGGCTAGTACTTATTCATCAATTAAGGTCAGTTATATTATCCATTCCGTGAGGCTGTATTTTGAACTAACTTTCAAGGTCACCCAAAGTAACTATAGGTATTCATGTATAGCCTTTAACTAGCAATTAATTTCCAGTCAAATTATTATTTTATTTCTTATTTGTCCCTTGGGTTCCTAGTGGAACATAAGGATTTAGTAGGACGTCGCCATTTCACTGTCTTCTCTGCAGTCTTTTGAACCTGACTCCACGACTGTCCATAGACTTCCATTTCTTCCTCACATCATCTCCTCCACATCACCCTCGGCTCGGACACCCAACTCGTCGTTCCCCATTTGGGTTCCAATCGACGATCTGACCTGGCCTGCCACCTGACATCCCCAAATGGTCTTCTCAGTGTATGTTCAATCCAATGCATCTCCACTTTCTTCTACATATTTGTTGGGTGATAGGTTGTTGGTTGGTTCGTTGTCATCCAGGGTGAGTTCCTTGTTGCTCATAATTATTATTCTGGCCATCTGGTTTAATCTTCAGTATCGGGCGTAGGCAGTCAAATATTGATAGTTAATTGGTTTTATTCAATCTAAACGATGTAAGTTACCATGAGTAATTGCGGTTGGGTTTATCCTTTTGCAGATGTTCATACTTAGTCTGCAGATGTCTTGTTGATGAGTATCTCTGAGAGTGCGGGCAATAATTGAAAGGGGAAATAGAAGCCTAGTTCACATTAGGACTGATACTAACAGTCTTCGATTAACCTGAGCTGTGCTGTACTGTCTAAGACGTAGTCTCGTAGCCCAAAGCTTGCTGTCATTAAGGTTTTCATTCTTAACGTCAACAATCACTTAATTATCGATTTGTTTATGGGTGAAGAGTGTTGAAACACCCATGAATCCTTCCACTTTTTAACCATTTAAATATTCAATTGAACTGGTGCTCATTGGTGACTAGCTTCCAGAGGTGTTCCCGAAGTTCCAATGAGAAGTCGTGACCGGTGAGGCAAAGCCTAATGGTCGTGATGACAGTTACTCAACGATGACATTGGGTGGCAGTTGCGCTGTATCGTGAGCCAACAGTAGTTGGAAATATGGACCATTGGGTTCTGACTCAGTGGCTCAATGGTAAAGTGCTGGCCACATAGCCTGGAGGTCTCTGGTTCGATCCCTGGAGGTGGGGGGTCACGGGTGCGCGCACTGTTGAGGAAGTCCCACACTAGTACGAAACAGCTATCCGGTGCTCCCAGGTTTCTTTTGTTCCTCCAACTGATGTGAGTCTACGATGAATAACAACTTGAAATATTTAAATATTCACCATAACTTGTATCAAACAAGCCATAGTTAGTGCTTTGCTGAATGTTTTCAGGATTTTAAGTATGAAAGTTAGAATTTTTACTTTAAGAGCGGAACAATAAATAACATGTTACCTTTTGTGGCTCTCATCAAATGCTGGAATTTTATTTTAAACTTTGAAAGTAATGCTTACAAGTTGTATTCATCTTCGTGACTTGCAGTGGGATTCAAGACATGAGTTTCGTCTTATTTAAAACTCCCAAAATAAACGTTACTTGCATCCCAGTTGATTGATGTTGTTCCTACTGAAACTCGAAACTAATGCGCATCCCTTTAAACACCAAGGTGAAATCCACGAGATCCTTTGGTACAAGAGACACCTCATGTGCAAGGGGTATAAGTTATTGTTTGATATTTGTGATTTCTCATTGCTTTACTGAGTTGAATTACACGACTTCTGTTCTCAGATGAGATTCTGCGCGGAAATCCTTGCCTTATGAAAGAAGAAAAAGTATTACAGCGTAGAGTCTCTTTTCCGCAATTTCATTTTCAAAGTTGTACAATCTCAGATTTATACACTTTTCTAGTGTATGAATTTGATAGTTGAAAGCGGTTTACTAAGCATAACAACCAAGACAGCGTCAACATATGAGCTGTCATGAAAATCAAAAAAGGAATGAAAAAACTGTAGTGAATGGTGAATACTAATCAAAATATAACTGGGGCGACTTTAAAGGACATCCTAGCAACGGTCGAAATAATCAATTAGGTTTCTATATTTCAGCTGGAAAGTCAGGTTTTCAAAAAATAAAGAAGTCTAATTAGTTATTCCAGTTGTTGCTAGGTTGGTTTTTAAAGTCACTTTTATATAAAAAGAATAATAAGTTTAAACAAGAAGTTTCATCATATCACGACATACTTGAAAACAGATTTGTGATCAGAAAGAGCATAGAAACAAGAAAGAATAGCAAATTACTTAAAAAGTGAACAGTATCAAAAAAAGGAAGAGGTGGTTTTAAAGACTGAAAATAAAGATCATGAGATAAGAAGAGATTGAACAATCTTCTTTTGTGTATAAAGTTCAAGTTTCTCCATATGGATGGCAAGAGCTTTAGTGATGCAGAAAATACGAAGACATACAGCCTTTGGAAGGTGTCTTTTCACTTTATAGATGACTTTGAACAAGGAGGTACTTTACTTGAGATAGGGTGATTCGTGTTCATGATGTGTTCAATCATAGCACTCCTTATCGCTCTATTGTTACCTCTTTGTAACCATGCGGGATAGTTCTCTTCAACCCTTTTGGATAACAGTCTCATTGAACGACCTACATACCTGGCTTCACGAGAGCAGTTGAATTGATATACGCATATAGAAGTTGTCAGATACAAAAGTTTTACCTATGAGTTGTTAGAAATTATTGAGTGACAAGAGAATATTAGTCTCAGCGTTAATGCAAAGAATGTTCTCCGTAAAGCATTTGATATCCTCTCTTTGGTGTCAGCGGCAGAATCACGTTTACAATTTAGATTCATATAGAATATCTTCTTCGGTACTATGGTAGGGTTCTTTTTGTGAGGTTTAGGCTTGGTATTTCTGTCTATGAAGCCTAGTGGGAATCCATTTTCAATTAGGATGTTCCTTGGAACAGAAATTTCCTCTTCTAACACATTGGGACTGCAGATTCATCCAATGCGAGTGGCAAGAGATATGATTAGATTTCGTTTACAACTTACAGGATCCAGCTATTAAAGTTCGTCAGTTGACCATTCCTTATTGGTTTTTTGTGAATGGACCTACTTAAAGTTCTATCAGCTCTACATCAAGAAAATGATTTTTCGATCCATTTTCGACTTCAAGGGTGAATCTAATCGCTGAGTGCCAGCTATTGAATATTTGTGGAACGTGATTCAAATTATATTGGTCATCACAGATAATAAAAGTATCGTCCGCTTACCTTTTACATAGTTGGAGACCGTCAGACGTTGGTTTCAAGGGTCCGTTCTCTAAACTGACCCTAAAAGCAGTCTGCTAGTAGGGATCCCAATGCGATTCCGTTTTTCTGTCTCTAAATCACGTCGTTAAATGTTAACTGAAGGTTAAGTGGTAATTCTTTAAGACGGGCGGGGTGGGGGGGGGTGTTGGTATCCCAACATTTATGTTGTTAAATTCCATGTATCTGAATATGAAGGAGATAGTTTCAGTAAGTGGAACGTTGGTGAAAAGTGACCCGACATCAAGTGATGTCATACATTTATGAGATACATCTACGTCTCTTATGAAATCCACATATTCAAAAGTATCACATAGGGAGTGAATGGCAGTTCGTTTTCTGACAGATTAGGGTTTTGGTTAGCCATTGCGCAACTGAATTGTAAGGAGATTCAGACCAAGAGGTACGCCAGCTTTGTGAATTTTCGATAATTCGTAAAGTCGTTAGTGTGTTGAACCTGTTAGTTTGATGCTTTCGTAGAGATCACTGGTCGATTGATGGAATTGTGAAACTCTGTCGACTGAAATGGCTTGGAAATGTACCGGGCATGCCAAACCACCGCCTATCTTGACGTGCCATGCTGGCGGAAGTTGGATTAGGTTGAAAGAGAGTTCAGGATACCAAAACTAGGACGTGGCACCAGTTTATGAAGTCCCTGACGGTTGGTATGAACTGTGTAGGGAGATATAGGCCTCCTGACTGGGGTCCCCACCATGATAGGAATCAGTGGTTGATATGGCTCTTGGTGACATGGCTGAAAATCGGTCACAATGGCGCAGATGTACTCACTCTTTGACATCTTCAGATTGTTCATTCCCACACACTACTTTGTATACCTTGATATTAATCTTTTTCTATCCACGTGTTGTCTGTTTACTATTGTGAAGTTTGGCAGTTTTAATCGATGCACTTGTGTGCTAGGTTCTACTTTGATTTTGCCTATATGTCTGTCTGAACACACACACGAACTTTCATCGGAAAGTTCCCTCCTTTTCATACCCATTTGTAGTTTAGAGTGATTCTTTGTTGATACGCATCCCCTTTGTGTTATCTTGCAAACTTTGTCAACTTGAAGTGATACACTATTATCGAAGGTTCTACGTTGACTTATCTATTTTTCTGTCTGTCTACAAATGCCATACTTGGAAAACGAAGTTTAGCTGGACAATATGTGATGTATAATTGCTTGTATTATACAGTCGTTGATTGGACCGAATTGGTCAGTCTCGATTGAGATATGGGCTCTTGCGCGGACACCTCGATATGGCCTGTGTTCTAATCATAGTAAAGATAGGTAGTGGCTAGCATTGGTACCCAGAATGGACACTTCGTCTTATTTGGGACTCTTGGACGTACCTGCCTCCCAGGGAGTGATGTTGTTCCCATCGGGATTCAGACTCGGGATCGATCGCTTTAAACGCCAGAGCGTTATCCATTACACCAGTGAGCCACGATAGCCACTTCTTATGCTGACGAGTCCCAAATAGGATGAAACGCGTATCCTGGATTTCACTTCTAGCCACTGTCCATCTTTACTAGTCTGTGATGTATTTGCGCAATACTTTCCAACAACTTACTTCCCAAGTCAATTTATATTAAACCGAAGGAAGAGAGAACAAATAGGGCAATTGAGATAATAGGGATTAAAACTAAGAAAGACAGGAACAAAAAATAAGAAGAGTGACAGCTGATCCTAATCTCGGTAAGAAAACAAAGTATGCGAAGAAATTGTTCTTATACACAGGGTGGTTTTGACCTGTGTACGGCTATCGCTTCCGTGAATCACAGTATGAATCCCTGACTGTTTTTATACAAAATTTTGAAAGCTGTTTATGACCTGTTTCTATAATATGTTTAGCTATAGATGTAGAGGGTCATCTCCCACCCGCGCTTACCAAAGTTCCATACTCGATCTGTTTTTGAAGCCATTTCGGTTCATGTTCCCCCACCTCCAACTGCATGACTCAATTACTTCTCCTTATGTATGTGTGACTACACACATTTATGGAGTGTTTAAATTTGTGGTGAAGCTTTCCCCCCCCCCCTCGCCACACACAAACACACTGACAAGCTTAGCTGCATTATACGTTTTCCTGTTGATTTATGTTAGCGTACATCTCAAGGCCATACTATTCAACTCCCATCTATATGGTAGAGTGGTATGGACAGTTCTCTTAGAAACCGTGTATAAAATTGACTTTGTTGTTGCCTGATTTCTACAACGGTCTATAGATTTAGGTGGATGTACGTTTTCCTTTGAGTATTTTGGTCAGTGATTTGTTATCTTCATCCATCCTATGTGATGTATAGATTCGATAGTTTTTATCAAACAGGCATTTTATTAGACCTCGCTTGTAATTAGGTCGAACAAAAACGGTGAAAATTATGATATCATCCTATCTATGTAGGCTTTCTGTAGACAGACCGTCTTATTGAACCACTTTCAAATAGCTTTCAAAGTTTTGTATAGAAACAGTCGGGGACGCATACTATGATTTTTCTAAGTGATAGCCGTACACAAATTGATACCACCCTTGTGTATACGTAAACAATTTCTTTCTACACCACACCTACCTTGGCAAACTTTATTTTTTTTAAACAAGATTAGGATCAAATGGGTCACTTTGTATTTGTTCTCATCTTTCTTACTTTTAATCTCCTATTATGTTAATTGTTGTATTTATCCTCTCACTCTTTGGTTTAATATAAATTGATTTGGCAAGTTAATTGTAGAAATGTATTGCTCAAATACACCATATTGTTCAGATAAACTTCGTCTTCTAATCAAACTGTCGAACTTCATAAAAAGGGAATAATTATTTCAAATACTTGGAAAAGTCAGGACAAATATCTACTATCATTCCAAAAGTTCAGTTTCTTACCTCTGAAAAGGATGTTCTTCAACTAAACAGCAATTGTTCTCTAAAATCTCCTCAGCCACATCGTTCTAGGATACTAAATGATATGGTCCACTGGTTTCTTTACGAAGAAAAGTAGCTTTGTTATTATTATTACTTACTTTCCTCTCTTGTCTATCTTTTTTTTGCATTCTTCAGGTGACTGAAATAGATTTGACCGAAAAGAATGAGAAAATCAGCGAGTTGCAGAAATGTATAGATGAGCTACAAATTAAGGTAATGCAGAATAAAGCATGGTGTGTAACAATTTTTTGAATCTCCTTTATTTTTATTTTTTCAGGACAAGATTATTAAATTGGATGCAACTACTAGTACTGAGGTTCACACTAGTAGTGTTCAGTCACAGTTTAATTCAGAGGTGAGAAAAAGAATCTTTTTGCATTCTGTTGAGAAATTCTCGATTGATATGTGTTATTTCTCTCTGTACAATCGATACCGGCATATTAGTATAGATTTGATGGAGAGTAATGATATGATTTGAATTTCAGAACGTGACACAGACCATTCGAACATACAATCAAGAAATTAATCTCCAATGGCTTCACTTTGATCTCCGAAACCAGCTACTAGCAAGTAAAAACAAGACAGAGTTAGTAGGAGTTTGGAATACATTTAATATCTCTCCAAAATGATAATGAACAGAGCAGAAGTTATTCTGTATATATAGCTTTTGGTAAGATAATCTTGTGAATTTGGTAATCAGGAGGTGGGTTTATGGGAATAAATTTAGAATTTTGAAAAAGTTCAAAGCTTTCGAAACAGCATGATCGGAAATATTCATCTTTATGCCTATTTTCAAGTTGAATCTCTCAGAAGTAGTAGTATCTCCTAACAAGTAACATGCAATAATTGAGTGCCAGCAGTTGATACAGTTTTTGGTCCTCTCAGGTAACAGAATTACCTCGAGATTATATTGTAGTGGGCGTTGCTGATAAGAAGGGATATAAGTAGTATATGTTTGGAGGGTGGCAGAAATCATAGACAATTACCAGCAATGGGCAAGGATTCTGCCCAGAAAAACATAAGAAAAAACAACGCGCGTATATTAAAAGCAAGTCAAGATAGAAACCGAAGAGGAAATGAAACATATAATTGATGACTGCTGTACCACATATCTCTGCCTTCTCGGTTCCTTCAATATGTGTAAACCTTACTGTTGAGTACATAAAATCGTCAGATTCATTTCTCAAGTTTGCTGTTGATTATCGCTAGCTACCCAACATCATCACAATAATAGGTTACTCGTTCGATAGTTGATGAAATGTAGTAACTTATCAGTTGTTACATAAACGTGATAAATCTCCAGTTGTTTCAATATTTGGAGAATACAATTAATTCAATATGGGGCTTTGTGGGGATTTATTCATTTCAAGTTGGTATTCATCATGCACTGGCAGGAGTTAGAGGAAAATCAGAAACCTGGGAGCACTGAACAGTTCTTGTGCCCATTGATGAATAGCTTCGAGAAGTGATTTATGAAGCTCCATTGATATGTCGTGACCGGTGGGGCAAACCTGGTAGACGTGAGGATAAATACTCAACAGTGACATTAGGTGATGGTCGCGCTATGTCGTGAACTGACAGAAGCTGGAAATGTGGACCATTGGATTCCAATCCAGTGGCTCAGTGGTAACGTACTGGTCATGGAACCTGAAGGTCCTGGGCTTGATTCCTGGCGGAGGGTTCATGAGTGCACACTGGTGAGAAGTTCCATATTAGGATGAAACAGCTGTCCAGTTCTCTCAGGTTCTCAATGTTGCTCCAACTGATGTCAGTCGATGATGAATACCAACTTAAAGTAGAAAGAATGTTTCAATGAATAGCTATTTGAAGTAACTGAGCGAATGATAAGAAATATGCGAACAATATTAATGCAATAAGACTCTTGGAATGGACACGAATTCACTGAGCCATGAATATAACTGAGGCAAAGACTGAGCTGTGTTTGTAAGAAAGACAAATTAGATCGCTTTTACTGGTAGTAAGCTTTTTCATATCTATGGTATAGGTGTTGCATCATCCTTACTGTACGTGTTGGATGTTGATTCGATGAAGGAAGATTCAGTAATCAGTCTCTGTCTCCACTTATTATAGTGGACCACACTGTTGTCTGCTTGTGCATTGCAATAGATGAGGTTCTTTTTCTCGATTATTGATCTCATTATCGTCTGTAATTCTACATTTGGCTAAATTTCTATGTTCCGATAATCTAACTGACCTCTGATTGACGAGTTTGACGCATATACCTGACCTCACGGTCATTGCATGGAGTTTCATAGATTAGATTATTTTGCTTAGTTGGATCTGTCGAATCCATAACCCGACAAAGCTTTTCTCTGAGTGAGTTTGTAGGTTTAAATGCCACTGTAATCCCACCCTCGGTGAGAATTCTTCATGAGGTTCCTGATGTTCCTTCCTTATATGGTAATATAGAATTCAATACATTGAATATTCCCATTTAGACATTTAGAAAAAGACTGATTGAGCGTAGAAATATATTTCTTTTCAGTTAGGTCTTCATCTTGGGCTCTACACTAATATATAGGTTAACAATTTAATCAAATTACCAATCACCTGGTGGTGTTTCGGAAATAATGATGTAAATAATCAATAGGGTTACTAAAATAGGAAATATGAATATCGATAGAAACAAGAAGGGGAAGAGGTGCACAAAATAAACTTAGAAGTTACATCATGTTGACGGCCACGGTAATGAAAGTGGTCGAACAAACTTCATTTGGATACAAAGGCTAGGTTTGTAAGGGTGGATTGCAATCGCCTCTGCTATGTGAAGTAACCGAGTGCGTAATCCATGAGGTAAATTAATTGGAATCTGATGGATAATTTTGAAGGCTTTCCAGTAACCACTTGATGTCCTGTGTCAACTAAGTGTGTAAGTATGGAGCTCTTTATAGTTCTAATTTGTCCCTTGTTCAACCATGGTGGGTAGTGCTCAGAAATTCGACGATGGAACTGCCTCGTTGTACGCCCAATTATATTCTACCATAATGCCCAAGTTTTACACTTATATTAGTGGTACTTATGCAGAGTTTACAAAATTGTAAGACCGTTGAAATCAGACTAGAACATTTGTACATCGATCAGCCATTGTCAAGTAATGAATATTGTATTTCACTAACCAGATTCTATTGGTCTATTATGAAATATAGTCATAAAGCTAGGAGGTTGACCATCTCAATTCTTTTAGTCTAGTGTTTGATCACTAGAGGCGATTGACAGAAAGCTTTGAATTTTGGTTGTCTACTAGGTAACATCACTGTTCAACGCGAAATTGAGGCCCATAATTAAAATGCTGTATATCTTCAACGTTAGATAATGTGTAACTTTTCTATTAACGAGCTAAATTGTGACCATTTGTTTTAGGAACTAACAAGAGATGATGCTCTTGAAGATCGAGAAGAATTAACTGGGGAAAATAGTCTATTGACAGAGCAAAGATTGAATTGTTTATCGGAAAATGAGTCTTTAAAGGTAAAATTTCAGTAGGTAATCGAGTATTCTTAAAATATGTAAAGATCTGGATTTGAAAAATTAAAACGTTTTTGACTTTGGGTAAATTTTGTTATAGTATGGGATAAGATTGCCATAATCTTCATAAAATACCCTAAACACCTGAAGCTTTCTGCAACCAGTACCAAAGTTTCGAGAGAAAGCACGTGAATCAACGTGCAAGTATCAGATTAGTTGAACGAATGAAAATCGACAGGACATTCAAATACAGAAAGGACTGAAATAGCCAAGAGAATGGACAAGTGAACAATTTGAGTAGTATATTTCGCTAGTTTATGATATATATCAGAGATCACATGTTATAGGGTGGTTTCCAAGAAAACCTTGTTTAAATCAGAGTTGAACAGTCGTAAAACTACTCAGACGTAAGAAATGTCAACATGAACCGTGTAGTTTGTAATTCATTTGCAAGCTGATCACCTTGCGTATACAGTGTCTTCGATGAACTGATTTATGCTCTTCTGTGTAGTTCGAATTTCCTTTCTTTCATTCTTAGTACTCTATAAATTGCTCCTCGTTCCTAGGTGTCGTGTATTTTCCATTCTCTTATTCATTTCTTTCTCATTTCAAGACATTACTATCTGCATATATTTGTGTGTTAGCTTGAGCTTTGTTGAAAACAGTTGGCGATTATCCATCCTCCATAATTAAAACTAGCGTTCATCTTTTAACAACAACTATGTTTCATCCAATGATTTGGTGATTGGAGGCTACCCTGCAAATAATGCAGACCAAGAGAAGAAGGAGGAGTTTTTACAGACAACTGCAATCAGTACTGGACGAGACTACGGTTGGCGACATCAAAATCTTAGTGGGTTACACGAATGTCAAACTGGGAACAGACAATGCAAGGAGAGAACCAATCATGGGCCGAGAAGCACTCGGTGAAATGAATAAGAATGGAGAACTGTTTGCAGACTTCTGCTCATTTAATGACTTGATGGTTGAAGGCACTGTGTACGAACACAAGGATATTCACAAAGCCACATGGATTTCATCAGATGGATACAATGAAAATGGACTTCAGATCGACTTCATTTCAATCTGAAGAAAGTGGAGACGGAGCCTACTGGACACAAGATGAAATCGAGAAGGGAAGCAGATGTAGGTCCACACCACTCACTATCTACTGCAAGGAACCTACCTTGAAAATCAAGTTGAAAGCCTTCGAAGGAGCTGGTGATAGACCACAGTTCAAGTTGAACACCCAGAACAGAAACTGAAGGACGAAACTACAAGGGACATCTTCACATCGGCCAGTCATCAGGAAGAAATCGGAGACATTGAGCAACATCCCTGAAGAAACCTGTGTGGAAGAACACTAGAACTCTTTGAAAGAGATACGAAAAGAAACTGCGTAACGTATGAGGAAGGAAGAAGAAAGAAGATAGGGAATGGATCTCGATGGGCACATGGGAACTGATAGTGGTGGTGAAGCTGCTGATAGTGAAGCGAAAGATGAACCAGTGCAGTGCAGGGATGAACAAAAAGAGGAACTGAATAAAACCCATAAAACTGGAAAAGAAGTGAAGAAGAGTGCGCGGAAAGACAGAAGACACTTTTATGACACACTTGCAAGTGAAGCGGAACAGGCTGCAGGCAGGAGAGACCTGACAACATTATATCAAATAACCAGCTTACTTACTATCTGGGAAGAGACCAGACGAAAACTAACAGGTTGGTAGAAGAGGCAGCGAAGATGGGACTTCAGACGGGACTTCCTTTAATTGAACGTAGAGAAGACAGGTGATGTAAAATATCCAACCAACAATAAAAAACCACAACAACATGCACCAATCACCATCAACGGGAGAAATCTAAAGGAAGTAGTCTCTTTCATCTACCGAGGCAGCATCGTTTCAACTACAGGCGGCGGCGGCGTCACAGATAAGTACGTCAAAGCCAGGACCGGAAAAACACCAAGACAGGCCTTCATCAATGTGAAATCAGTGTGGAGATCTACTACATTGCACTGCACTGCACTCAGCATAAAGTGTGAACAAGATCCGAATTTTCAACACCAATGTCAGTCAAGTGAGTCAGTGCTTCTATGTGATGGTTGAGAGACTTGGCAGCGCGTTACGAAAAGCATTTCCAATAAACTTTAGACATACATGTTCAACAGCTGCCACCTATTCTCACTCGATACTGAAGATCAGATGGTCAGAATAACAATTATGAGCAACAAGGAACTCACCCTGGATGACAACGAACCAACCAACAACCTATCACCCAACAAATTTGTAGAAGAAAGTGGAGATGCATTGGATTGAACATACACTGAGAAGACCATTTGGAGATGTCAGGTGGCAGGCCAGGTCAGATCGTCGATTGGAACCCAAATGGGGAACGATGAGTTGGGTGTCCGAGCCGAGGATGACATGGAGGAGATGATGTGAGGAAGAAATGGAAGTCTATGGACAGTCGTGGAGTCAGGTTCAGAAGACTGCAGAGAAGACAGTGAAATGGTGACGTGATACTGAATCCCTATAATCCACTAGGAACCCAAGGGACAAATAATAATAATGTTTCCTCCAAATATATTGGTAAAATTCCTTCATATTAACGGGAAGGTTTTCCGAAAGGATGTATAGATATTTTCCTGTACTGTGCTCAGTCTTTTTTCTTATGATTCCTACATGCTGTTAATCGTCTCTGTTCTTTTCTTTCCAGAGAGAATTATTGTCTGTAAAGAATGAACTGGAGGATTTCCGCAGAAAATTAATCCACGCTGTCGATTCTCCAAATAGTCAAATACAAAAACTTGAAACAGAAATTACTAATCGTTCAATGTGTATATCAGTTCTTGAAAGACAAATTCAAGAGCTGAAGTTGGTCAATAAGAAATTCTCTGAAGATTCATCAGTTTTACAACATACTAATGACAATTTACAAACTGAGTTAAAGACTCTAAGAAATGAATTTGAAATAAAAAGAAAACAGTATGAAATGATATTGTAAGTGTACAGATTCTGTGAAAAATTGACATAGAGTGTTTATTTGTAGAAAACCACTTTTTAGAGAATATATTTAAGATATTGTTTATGAATGCTTTAGTGCTGTGTCTCACTCACTGGTTGTACACCTTTAATTCACCACTAGTAAAAATCACTGGTTAAAGCATTTATCGAAGCTTAAGAAACAAGCCTTATTCATAGTCTTTGTAAAGTATTTTCAACTGAAAGCCTTTCATTTTAACGACAAAAAAGCTTAGTCAATGAATCATAGATCAGGAAAACGCATACTGTGTAAAAAAATTGGGTCAAATTCCTATTGACTATACTAGGTTTTTATGTTGTAGCTTGTAAATCTCCGTCGTTAACTGAGCCGAGTTGATTGGCTACTATCGGTTTATTATCCCCTCAATATTGCCGACATTTTTAGCTTAGATATTACTATTGGACAGTCGAATCAAGGACCCTTGTTCCATTGTATTTGCGACTCGTCCATCTGGCGTACCTACTTCTCAGTGAGTCATGTTCTCATAAATATATAGTAGGTTTTGTTTACAACATGTTATTGTTTTCATCGAGTGATTTTTTTGTTTTTTCTGGTTTATTTATTCATCTCTATATGTAGAGATAGGTGGAGAGACAATGTAGAATCTCGCACAAAAGTGTATCAGTTCAAGTCGTCACACTTCTAGGCAGCACACAGAATAGAAAGTCGACAGAAATAGAGGGATATCTCGAGAGAAAAGAGAATAAATCAGTAGAACTGATGAATGAGATTGTCAACTAGTCATTCCTAATATCGTGATGGTGTCAGGTAGTCAACCTTCACATTTTTTTATGGCTCTGGCTAACCGTCAAAGAATCCATGCATCTATGGCATATCTTTGCTTTCATCCTTTCAACCTAGTCTTCGTACGATTGTTATTTCAAGTTGGAGTAGATGTAAATATGCGTATGTAACAAATGACCCAGCTACTTTAGTTTCTATAGATTCATAGTTCTGTTGACTGATTGAATTCCCTCATCTCACACCCAGCATAAGCAATGCTCACATACAAGGTTCCGAAGACATCGGTTTTTGTAGGGTCCATGGGAGTTGGTAATCGCATTGTATAAAGATTGTCGATATTATCAGTGAACAGATACGTGTTTGTTGACAAGATGATTTGAAAAGAATGGCTTCAGCCTTTTTATTGCATACTGATATTATACAGCAAGCGTTATGAAACAACATTTTTGTAATGAAAAGAGGCCCACAACTCTCAAGCGTTGAGTCAGTAGTTCAGACCTTGCACCACCTAACAAAGTTTAGCCATATCGTATGAACTTTAACAGGATAGCTGTAGCTCACTGTCAACTACATACAAACACACACATGAGATCATTGACCTGTATTGCAATGAAATCGGTAAAATGATAATGATATTATTATTATTATTATTCGACCACAAATATGGTATGTCAATGGCACCAAGAAATGTGCCACACAAAATAGTATAACACTATTTGGAAGACATGAAGCGGAGGAAAGAGGATAAAAAAATACATTAAGAACAGAATGATAAGAAAGGCACTCCGATAAGATGCATTCAAAGCAAAACATTCATTACTTTTCAGTAGAAGAAGATAGAGAGAAGTTACAGAATGACTCCCACTGGTTTTGATTCTGAGCCAGATCTGATAGCGTCTCAAATTACTGAGTTGCGTGATCTCTCCGACCCCACCGTGGAAGTCGTGATGCACCAACAAGTGCTAACCTGATACAATTATCCTTCATCCTATGGCGCCATGTCATACACTGGCAGCCCATGCACTTCTTCCATTCAGTATCATCAAACAATGAACGGTATGGAAACCGTTGAGACGACATGCCTAACACATGTCCAAGCCACCGAAGCGGGTGTTTCCAGATGACCTCACCTACTGAATGATGGTCTTCATGCCTAAACACGCTGTCGTGTCTCAGAATTATTTACATAGTTTTGCCATCGGATATGAGCAATCGTACGGAGACAACAATGGTCGAACACAGAGTCATCGCATATCTTCAGCTCGGAGAGGCCAGCTTTTGTAGGCGTACATCAGAGCTGCTTGCACCGGAGCGTTTTAAACCTGACATTTTACGGTCATACCAACGTCACGACGGCACTAAAGGTGGTCCAGATTGGCATATGGCACTTTGGCTTTTGATATGTGGTTTAAAATCTCACCGCTCACACCTCCACCAAAATATAAACAACTACCAAGAGACACAGACTTTCCAACTACTTCTAACGTCACCCCATCGAGGGTGAGCGCAGGCACAGGCTCCTGGCAGTCTTGCAAGAATACTTTTCACTTTGATGGTCCAAAACAAATACCATACTTACAAACACCAATTACCAACTGGTTAAATGAGATTTGAGTAGCCTGTGCGATATCACACAGGAAGACGGTATTGTATGCATATTCAAGGTCGGATAACCGTTTTCCGGGCAGTAGATCTACACCATCATCACGCATCTTCTTCCTAGTTATCTTATGAATATCATCGATGGCGAGGGTGAAGAGGAATGGAGAAATCGGACAATCCTCCTTAACCCTAATGCTGGTTTGGAACAGTGGAGACAGGTGGTTGTAAATCCTCACTCTACACGAAGTATTGTTATACAGGGCTTTTAGGATGTTAATAAATTTCTCAGGCACACCCTTCTCTAACACAATTTTAGAGTTCAGCTCTGTTCAGCGAATTCAAGGCACCCCTAATGTCAAGAAACACAACAATTGTTTACCTGCAATATGGCTGGTAATGTTCAAGCATCTGGCTAAGGGTAAACACATGGTCAATACGTCCATGCACTGGTAACAGACTAATATCCCGATGGTTATCACATGCATTACGTAAACCCTTTTTAAATATAGACACAATAATGGCCTCATTACAGATATGTGGAACACGGTCTGCCAATCTAGTCAGTTCTCTGGCTGAAGTCGTTCCTCCGTCATTGAAAAGAGTTGGGGGTAAGTTGTCTGGGCCGGGTGCCCTATGGCCTTTTAGAACTTGGAGTTCCTCATGAATCTCCGCTTCGTTAGGTAGCTCAGTGTTTAGTGACGATCGAGCACGATAGACTGAGACTAAGGATTCTAGAGCCGTGGGCCAGCTAAACCGTTTTTCGAAGTGCTCCGCCTAGCGTTCCCGGCGTCTTCGAAGATTGTTTATCGGTGTACCGTCTTCTTTACAGACCGTTTCACTGACACTTGGCTTCTTGTTACCAGTCTCCCGAATGAACCAGAACAGCTTCAGACTATTGCCAGATGCAGCTGCTGCTTCCATGTGACTCGTGCGTCCCGACCATCAAGCCTCACGGTCACCGCGTAATCGTTGTGTACTCTTTCGCGTAAGAGACTTGCGCGAACAGTCGTACTCGCTATCCGCCGGAATGGTCTGATGGGGGTCAAGAAGTCTCAGTAAGCTAGTAGCGAACCGATGTTTAGTAGCGGGACATTCTTTTAAGCTGCAAACGGCTTTACTCACCATTTTCATGGAGTCTCGCCAATGCTTTCTACACTTTCTGGAGGATCAGTAACTAGTATTAAGTCCAGATCAGACTGGTATTTAGCTGCAATGTTAGATGAAACTAATTTGCTTGCGTCGACCTGTTTAGGACGATGGTTTTGATGACCGCCGAAATGTTGCAGAAGACGATACCCATTAGCCAACCAATGGCTAATTGGCCTCCACCGGTCACATAAACGACTCCCCTGAGCCTAGACGTCCGACCTGCGCATTTAAGTCTCTAGCTAGCACTACGATATTTGTCGAGCACACTTGGTTGAGAAGGCCACTCATTTGGTGATAGAATTCATTTTCCGTTTTAGTCTATTTATTAGAAATATCACACAGTGAAACAGTATCACTTAAAAGATAACGTTCTAGACATAATATATTGTCCATATTCACTGTGTAACAGTTCTAATAAACAGACTAAAATAAAATCGAATTGCAATCCACTATACTGCCCGCTTTTTACTCCTATATTAATGAAGTATATGGTCTTCCTGTTCAAAGAATAATCAACAAACACACGACTTTCACAGACAGACCTGATATAAATATAGTCAATAAATTATGTTGGAAACGTTATCCAGTAAATGATACTATGTGAGTTTTCTAATAAACAGACTAAAATTGAGTTATCACCTACCAAAGCGCCCAAGTTTTACTCCTATACTAAAGACTTCATCCTTGGTATTATCCGGTCTACAATCCGTTGGAGCATAAGTCGGTTACTTCTTACTCGAGATGAACCTTGTAGCCTAAAAACGTAGACGACTGTTGATTGTAATCCAATCGAGTAGTGCAACTTCGGCTCTACCGCTTAGTGTGACACTGAAACCAGCGAAGCCGGCTGCCGATGCCATGGAGTCCTCGGATAAGCGCACACGAAACATACTTTTTGAGTTGATAGATGAGGAACTTATTCCAGGCGCTTCACTGGAATCTTGTATGGGAGCCTCTGAGATGCAGCACATCAATAATGGGGCTTTCTGGAGTCCTAGCCAAACCTATCTGTTGTCCAATCTTCATTAAGGTGGGAACGTTGAAGGTAGTGAGTTTAAACGGTACGTGGGGTTTCAGGATAGCTGTGTGAGATATCGCACTGGCGGAGAGATTTATGGGGGCAATCGTTTAGCTACTCAAAACGGTACAGACAGATCAGAAGTCTAAGCATTGAACAGCAGCTGAATGAAGTTAAGGTAAGGACAAGAGCGAAATTATTAATCATAAAAAATATAGTTCGTATGTAAAAACAACTTTAACAACATAATAGCAACAAATCGAGTAATCGGTTATAGAGTTCGTAGCGCAGAGAGATTGAGTATTTGCAGGAAAGTTGATTAATTGCTTCAAAATCTTCATTTTATACTGCAAAATCATATTCTGCATGAGGGCCGCTGTGCTTCCCCAGGCACCCAGACCGAAGCACGTGGTTGTCTTGGGGGACCACTCCCTTATCCTTCGACTTAAAGTCTAATCCACAGGGCAGTAGAGTACAATCAGGAGCTGAGTTTTCATGGTTGTCGGTGACCAAAATAGGTCCATACGCCATTCTTCCCTTCTGGAACCTTGGGCCTATGTGATACACTGGGTTTGAAATCAGGTTTTTCTAACTCTCCTATATGAACCCTCAGTATCCACTAATCCAGTGATAAGCATTGGACATACGCTCAGTAGTAATGTCGCTGACCACAACACTGGATAGTGTGGGTTCCAATCTTACAGGAGATTTAAGTTACGTCGAGGTTGCTCATACACTTTACTGGTGAGTGCCAACAAGCGCGAAACCTAGGTCAAGCAGGGGTTCCTGTCAGTTACTTCCAACTAAATATCAAAATGCATTATAGTTTTTTTCTCCTTTACTGCTAAGTTATCATGCTACTTCATCTCTGTGGATTACGGACCATCCATCTCATCCACAGGGGAGAAGTAGGGTACAGTGAATGATGAGTGGTTGAAATAGTTTCATTATTCTCCCTAAATCCTTAAACATTATTGTTATTTCTCAGATAATATTTACATTCATCTTTGCCGTTGTAATTTTCTCAGAATCGTTTAACCAATGAATTGATTGAATCACAAAAGATGACTAGTGTTCTTCAAGCTAAATATGAACATCTACAAATCCAAGCTGACGAAGCCATAAAATCAAATCAAGTCTCTGAAGAAAAATTGATAGGTTTAAAAGAAGAGCTTGATAGTGTTCGTTCAGAATCGCGAAGTAAGGAAATCCATGTATTCTTTTAATGTTTTTCTCTTGTTTTTAATGTATCACATCCACATCTGCTGACGATTGGATCATGCTATAGAAGCTCGGTTAATACATTGGATAGTTAGAAATTGAGTAAACTGAAATATCTCTGCATATAATTGTTTGTTTGATAGAGAGTTTTAATATTCTTGATCTTTCCATGTTATATTGTGAATTGACGCATCTGTTGTATCTGTATCAACTAAATTTTATGATACCAGTTATATACACTCACAAACTGATTGTCTTTCGAATGTTAGATATATAGATAGAAAATTCTAGAATGTTGTACAATGTTGCATTAATTTAACCCATATCAATTTCAGAATCTCTCTCAATACAGAGAAATACAGAAACATACTTGATTGAATAAATAAGGTGGATAAGAATAGAGGTATAGGGTAGTAGTAATGCATTCAGAATTTTAAGAAATACAAATAGTGATTGCATCCATGTTCCTTTTTATCATTCTTAAGGGCATCTACCTACTAACCAGTTCGTCAGTCTTAATTTCTCAAAAATTGAGATCACTAATCAACTGACCTACGTTTTATCTAAATTTGTGGTCACTGACTCTACATATTAGTGCCATGACTTGTTATGATGTCTTATAACCTTTTCTCAACCTCTTTTCATTAATATTTACGGGATACATTGTCCCTTAGTATGCTTCAATTCAGTTTCAGGCACTGTCAAATAATAAAAATCCATGAAGTTATTGAGTAACTCTGTTTTCTTGTTTCTTAGTAGTATATAACTGTTATGTTACTCACTTAAAAATTCTACCACACGTTAACAATACTTTACCTTCTCATTTCATGAGATGGAACCGATTCCTTTATCTCATTCATCTCCAATAACTGCTTTAAAAACTACTGTGTTGAAAACAAACTCGGTGTTGCACAGCATATTCACTATTTTATGGATCACTGATAACTGCTTTCTTGACATGGTAGTCGGACTTGCATGTCACAATGAGTTACACTGGTACGAACACTTGTTACTTGGGGTTCTACCAATGCAGTAATGTCAGTTTGGATAGCAATCGCCGTTGTAGTGTGAATTGTTAAGCTATGATATGGATCCAAGGGCAAAGTTGTACCGGAAAGTCATATCAGCTCCATTGCGTCAGTGGTCAATGAAATCTCTTCATGCATTTAGAAGATAATCTATGGCACCGGATATTTATCTGATTATCGATTAAAATTCTAGTGTACTATGCAGCAGTTCACTTTTTTCTAATGCAGACTTGAGAAACATGACCATTAAAGATGAAAAACATAATAAGGCTTATTGTGTTAAACCACCGTCGTCTCGGTAGCATTGGTTATGTGTCAGACAACTACCATGCTATATTAACACAGAAGTTGAGTGTGCAGTCTTAGACAGAAGAGTTAAGTCTGTTGATGAGGTTGTGAACCCTTGCCCACTCATGGCTTATTACCGTCTGTTCCGCCGAAGTAGGTTCAGTCGGGTCAGAGATCGAAGGCGACCAGGCTGAAATTGAGCATCAGTTTATAAAGTGTCCGAATGTCCTCCTGAGTTGCATCTGTATGGTTAGCGTATGTATTGCGATTGAAACGAATGATTAGAGACCCTAGTAGGTTTTGCTTGCAATTGATCTCAGTGGTGGTAAAAATGTATCCACACACTTTATTCGTGCTAATCGTCATATCGTCCTCATCTCTCCTGGTGATTTTCTGCTACTTATAACTCCTTATTTCTCTTTGATTCGTCTTCGGATACAAAAGGCTCGATTGGTTTTTGCCAATTGGCGCCGCCGTGATATCCGTTTGTCTATTAAGGGTCGCGTGTACTGCACAGCAGTCCGGTCTGTTCTACTCTATGGCTGTGAAACATGGCCATTGAAAGTGGAAGATATAAAAAGGCTTCAGGTGTTTGACCACCGTTGCCTTCATAGTATAGGACGTATTCCGTGGTATCACGTGAGTAATGCAGAAGTCAGGTGTAGAGTTTTAGGGAGAAGAGGTAAGTCGGTTGACGAGGTTATGAACCTTCATCGACTGAGATGGTTGGGACACATACTACGTATGCCTAGTCACCGATTGCCTCGTCACACAATGTTGGCTGAGGTGGGTCCAGGCTGGAAAAAGGCTCGAGGTGGCCAGAATAGAACATGGCACCAATGTATGAAGTCTCTGACTGTTGGTTTAAGCCATGTGGGACGATGCAGACTAGGTGGTTGGGGTCGGCGGGACAAGAGGAACCAGTGGTTAGAGACTCTAGGTGTTATGGCCGAGAACCGATGTGAGTGGCGCAGATGTATACACACATTATCCTCACCTTAACTACACTATACCGAATCTCACCATTTTGTCACTCCTCTTTCCTTTCTTCTTGTACTTTATATTTCTTTTGACTGCATTCACTTATCTTCATCCTTCACCTCACTACCTTTCTACTTGATGAACTGACGTGAGGTGTGGCAACTCGGACCATTACGTAGTAATGCCTGGTCCTATGTTGATAATGATGATGATGATGATTCGTCTTGGTGCCTTCTATATTGATGTGCTGATGTGGAATGTGGCAACTTAGATTGTTGCTTTGTAATAGCAGGTCTTGTATTGATTTTGAATGTTTGACTGGCTCTTTTGAATTTCTGATGATATTTCGGGGATGCGAGGAGATCAGACTTAATGTTGGTAATCGTGTGGCGTCCTCCAAGCCTTTGGGTTTATTTTTCGATGCCTAACCGAAAGACTAGAGGACTTTACGGGCATTTACTTGATAAAGAGGTGTAGGCTTTTCAGGGTGCATGAAAGACATTCACCGGTTTTTGAGTGTCTTTGATCTGTAGGTAGGGGTTGACCTCTTCTGAATTCTTTTTCTATATCCAAGTTTGACTTTTATAACAGTAGTAATAAAATGATCCATGCTGTTGACTTAATGTTAAATTATTGATTGCTGGGTTGGTTTCCAGTTGATCAATATCTTTGTGGTGTGAATGTTCATGTGTCTGTTGATTGGCATTTGATAAGAATATCATACTTTCATGAACTGTCTTTCATTTTCTGAGCTTGTTTACTGTAATATTTCCACCTTGTTCGGATAGAATATATAACTTATGTTCATCTACATCCATTTTGATCAGTGATGATATATTATATCGTTTAACTACTAGTTGACGCTCATAAATTCTTTATACTTCCAGACAGCTGATGAACATGGTGTAGACGATATTCGTATTGTCTTCTCTGGATAAGCGATCCTTCATTTTACATAAATTGTTTTACCTGTTGGTTTGTATGCTGCGCTGATACCGATAGAGTGAATTAAATCGGCTGGTATTTTGTGAGACATCTTCGATATCTAATTAAGTGATTTATTTTGTAGGTTGAGGTAGTTGTTCTGATGTGTGTTCTTTTCATGGGTATTTGTTGATGAATTTGATTGGATAGTCACTGGTTGTGATCATTTTGTAATAGTGGTTTTCTTCTGACTTACGTAGTTGTTGAGCGCTTAAGTTAGTCTTGTGATTTATGAGTAATGTTTTTATATACACTACTGCTGTAAGTGACAATTCGGTGTGTATTTGTCACCTTCTTGTCTAGTTGTTTCTGTTAAGTTCCATCATATTGTGTTTTATTGATAAGAACACGTTAGAATTCAGTTTAATACTTTCCTCCTTGACAAAATTGAACTGGTTTTCCAACATATTTGTCCCAGCGTGTCGTTGACGGAACGAATCGAAATTTCCTGTTTGACTGTTAGCTATTGATTGTAGCATCTGCATGAATGTTTTAATGATGAGTCCAGATATTATTGAGCCGACGGTAAGCCATTTGTTTTGTCTTTCCATTCAACTGAAAGTACACAGTGAGACATAGGTTGATTAGTTCTATGAACTTTGTGTTGGTAATTTTGGGATACTTTTAAAAATTCTGTTCATTGTTGATACTAATTGTCATTGTCTTTTTTGGGTGTGATTTGAATCTTTTGATGTGAAAAGTACAGTTCTATCGAAAGATATCATTTTTTTATCTTTGTCTACCTCTCGGTCTTTTATTCTCTTCAGAAATTTAGTATTAACTATTGACAAGATGTTTCAGGTTGCTTGTAAAACTCTACGGATAGATGAAGTGGTGTTTTTGCCGATAGCGACATTATTGATCGCAGTCAAATATTTACTTCTAGTACTTTTGATATAATTCTCTTCTGTCAGTTTTTAAGTGCTCTTGTCACTGAAAACGTTTTGCGCTTTTCTCATATAATCTACTTTCCTCCTGTCATTAGCTTGTATTCGCATCTTGGTGACTAGCAGAGTAATCCAGGACCCGGGTTTCGTCTTATTTGAGACTCGTCAGGTAGATGTACTTGCACCCCAGTAAGTGCTCTTGTTCACACTGAGTCTCGAACCCAGCACCCATCGCTTTATAAAACGCCAAAGTGTTATCCATTGCCTTCTTTTAATCTGTGCTATATATTAAAATCGATTCTTATAATGGTTAGGTCAGACTCGGCTCCCAACTTCCTCCAGGATATTCGTAACAACTAGGGTCTGGATGATTTCAATGTTATTCCTACAGTTTTGACTAAAGATTCAAATGTTGGACATAAATTTATCTAACTTCAATAAGTGTTAGTAGAATAAACTTTTGGCTCTCGAAAATCTTCACCTCATTGACTGACTGATGAAATCAACGCCAAACCTCGCACACAAGTGCATCAAATCAAGTTGCCACGCTTCACAATGTATACAAAGAACAGATGGATAGAAAAAGAGTGATATCTAAGCAGATGAAGTTGTATGAGAGAGTAAACAATCTGAAGACAAACATTAATGTGAATATCAAAGCTTTACAAGACATCAGAGAGTGAATACATCTAAACCATTGTCACCTATTTTCAACTTTGTCACCAAGAGTTCTCAATCAATGATTCATTTCATCATGGCGACCCCAGTTAGTCAGTCTACAGATCTCAACATGAATCAGACTAACAGTCAGAGACTTCATCGACTAGTGTTATGTCTTGTTCTGGCCACTCTGAACACTCTTCCAACCTAAACTAGCTTCCCCTAACATGGCACATCGAGGTAGATGGACGCTTGCCGTGCATAGTAAGTGTCCAAGGTATCTCAATCGATGAAGTTTAGCAACCAAATCAATTCACTTGTGTATGCCGTTCACATCGCTCACACAGTGATTCCACCACATGCAAGCAGTGCTACGAAGACATCTATGATATAACCTTTGCAACTGCTTCATGTCGTTTACTTTTAGTGACCATATATCACAACCTTACAACAGGACAGGAGGGATTGCAGCTCAGTAGTCGGATATCTCAACAGTAAGTACCACAAGTGACGCAAATTGGCAAGTGATAAACAGACCTACTGTATCTGAGCTGAGATTTCATCAGCAACGCGCCTGTTTGGGCTGATGCAACTCCCCAAGTAAATGAAGTGGTCGACACATTCCACCACTTCACTCTCTATCATTAAGCTAGGAGTGGTTTCACACCAGTCCGGGAGCATCATCTTACATTTGACAGGTGAGAAACTCATGCCAAACGCACAGATTTCTGCTCAATGTATTCAGAAGCCCCTGAATTTTATTATTATTATTATTACTAACGGTTTGACCTGGATCTCTGATAAACATATTGGCTGGACAGTAACTAATTTCACGTTATCTAGTCCTAGGTACTAGTCATTTTTCATATGTCATTTTACTGTTATGTGCTGATGAAGCCAGAAGACTCACCTTCATGGTACACTTTTGATTGATACTTTACGATTGGATGCAGTCAACCGAAAAGAAGGCGAATTCGCGACATCTTCCTCCAAAGGATTATTGATAATATGTACAAAATCTAGACGAGGCAAAACTTCATGCCAATTAACGCTAAACATTGATTCGTATTTTGTTTAGTGATTTACACATTTTAAGTAAATTAGCATTTATCTGATTAATTCAAAATCTTAGTTTTCTTATTTACAGTCAGTGGTGCTGAGTTATATATATATATATATATATATATATATATATATATATATATATATATATATATATATATAATGAATTCCTTGTAATAAAGTGTATTCGCAGTTGAAAGACCCTTAACCCTTTAGGTAACATTTAATGAGAGAGTTCCCATTTTTCTTCGTAATTCCTGTACGTTATATAATCTATACCATGAAAATACTATTCATTGTGATCATATGCCAAAAGTGACTGTCTGCGTCCTGAGTAATCTCGTAGTAGATTCATAGGGTTTACTTAGCAAAGGCATAAAATCTACTACGGACTGTTTGCGCCTGTTTATTCTTTAGTTTTATGACAGCGAATGGGTTAAAAACTTGCTTTGTTGGCCCACCTACTATAGAATTGCAATTCATCACGTAGATTTGATGTAATCATCTACTCAAGGTTTAATTCCTGTTGAAATTTACTTGCATCTATCTCGAAGACAAACCGAATACCACAGTTGTCATTCTGATTACTGTCTGGTGTAATGGTGCATCATATAGTGCTTATGTTAAAACTTTATGTTTTAATAGTATTACCGGGAGGTATAGTAAAATAAGTCATGTATTAAGCTATTATCTATTGTTAAAGTTTATTCTTAACGGTGTCATGAATATATGAAAGTTATACCACTTGATGTAATTTAGCATACACTTGGCGGCTCCTATTAAGAATGTATGAAAATTCACTTCTCTGATATAATTCGTTGACTGTTCATCTATTAGTGTTCAGACTTACATTTCACAGGGATAAGGTACAGTGTTGCGGATATAAAAGTGTTCATCTTATGCTACAATTACGTTTATTTAACTAGGTTCACTTATAACGAAACTGAGTAAGTTATTTACAAAGCTTATTGTCTATAAAGTGTCTGGCACCATAATATGAAATACGAGACGCTACTAACGCAATGAGGTATTTGGAGTGGATATACTTAGCTACTGTTCTCCTTTAGAAGGTTACAAGACACTGAGCCGCGAAAATCAGGAGACAAAAACCGACCTGCCACTATAATATACAGTTTTCATAAACACTAGGTCAAAAGTCCAATGTCACGTTTTGATTGATCAGCTGGACAAAATTGTCCAATAAGATTTTACCTGACCACACAGTAATACGAAAAAGAGGTTGAAGTCTAAAACTTCTACGTTAGCAGCTAACGACTTAAAATGTCGATTTCTATTTGGGTCACTTTCTATCAATCTAGGTTGGTCATTTTCAGACAATTGACTAACCTTTCAAACCTGCAACATCTGTACTAACAGGGTTTCTAATTAAGGCTATTTAATCCAAATAGTATATTACTGTCTCTGACATGACAGTATCATGAGCTAGTAGAGCAGACTCTCATTGATTGGTCATGGGAGAGAAACCAATTTCATCTTGTGTAATCCTGGGTGCAGACCAAATTATATCGATTATATTTGCAATGTAGCCACCAAGCTAGGAGGCTCAGCATCACCGTGCATATTGGTAGGTGTTAGTTGTGTGGAGGCTATCGACAGGAAGCCCTACTCAACCTAGGTTTCGTGCTTGTTAGCACTCGTCAGCAAGGCTTATCTTCAACCTCGACGGAAATGATGTTCCACCTGAGATTCGAACCCGCATCGTCCAGTGTTGTGGTCAGTGACGTTATCACTGAGGTCAGTTGCACTCCGAATAGCTTGGTGATAACGTCACTGACTACAACTCTGGGTGACGCGAGTTCGAGCAGGAAACCTAGGTCGAGCAAGGCTTCCTGCCGATTGCCTCCAACCGACTAACACAACAGACTTTCAATTAAAGTGAGTAGTTAAAAAAACAAAGACATCGTTATAAAAATGTTTCAATTGACCTGTGTGTGTGAAGCTGTGGTTCATTATTTTGGGTGATCGACTTCCTGGTGATGAGTCACGGGTTCGAACCCCTCCTAGTTTACTAAAGTAAGTCTCTGCAGCCAGATATGCGTGGGACCCATTGCTTACCGCATGAACGTGGATAAAGTTGTTGATTAGACTTCGTTTATTTCTTTTTGAAGTGATCCATACATTAACTTTGTTCAAATTATCATATTAAAACTTATGATTTGGAAAACTTTTTTTTCACAGATAAAAATAAGAAGTATGTTCTTTCTTCTTTTGTACCATTTTCTGAATATCCATTTTCCAGAAAAGCGTTCTTTAAGTTGATGTAGTTCTTCATCAGTTGTTATGAAGTAATTTCTGATATAAACTTCAAATCCTGTTAATTAAATTAATATACATATAACTTGCTCCGAAATTTCATAATCACTTAATATGTGAATATTTTTCATGGTAAAATTATATCACTGAATCGTTGCATCTGATGAAACATTAACGAAAATGTGTATATACTTTTATTTTTGTCAATGTATTATAGTGACCTAGTGTTAGTTTGCTTGGTTAGAAAGTAAAATTGTTTTGAAAAATAATGTTGAAAATTGGTGACAATGGTTTAGATGTATTCACTCTCTGATGTCTTGTAAAGCTTTGATATTCACATTAATGTTTGTCTTCAGATTGTTTACTCTCTCATACAACTTCATCTGCTTAGATATCACTCTTTTTCTACCCATCTGTTCTTTGTATACATTGTGAAGTGTGGCAACTTGATTTGATGCACTCGTGTGCAAGGTTCTACGTTGATTCTTTCTATGTGTCTGTCGTTAAATGATAAGATTTTTGAAACACTTGGGTATTTTTTGCTAAGTTATTCTTATTTTCGACATTGGCATTATAGTTGTTTTTCTTAATTTATAGTGGATATGTAAAACAGTTACTAACTAACTGTTGAATATAGTATGATAACGTTGAGGTTAAGTGTAAAGTTTTAGGGAATAGAAGAAAGTTAATTGATACAGTTGTTAAACCCTCATCAATTGAGATGTCTTGAGTATCTGTTACGCATGCGTAGTTACCATCTGCATCGCCATGCAATGTTAGTTAAAGTAGATTCAAGCTAGAAAAGAGTTCGGGGCGGCTGGACTAAAAATTGCCATCAGTACATGGAATCTTTGACTGTTATTCTGAGTCACGTTGGGAAATACAGACTAGATACTTTGGGGTCCCCGTGACTATGGAAACCAAAGGTCCAAAACTATAGGCGTTATGAGTTAGAATCGAAGTACCCATTCATTATCTTAATCGCTATATACTGAATTCAGCATTTTTCATTCCACCTTCCTCTCTTTTACTGCTTTCTACTGCATTCAGCTGATTTGCTCTTTCTTTTCTCATCTTTCGTCTTATTCCTTTGTTACTTGATATGATAATATGAAATATGACAACTTGGATCATTGTACAGTAATGCCTGGTCCTGTATTCATATTAATGATGGTGATAGTTATGGTACGATAAGTATAAGAAGAGTGGTTTGCACTATATATATATATATATATATATATATATATATATATATATATTCGATGGGTTACAAGTTCGAGCACTGCTTCACCTACCAAGGTTTGAGTAGTCGAATGGTGTCATTGGTTCTCAAACAATGTACATGACCTGTTGCATAGTCCACGAGTCTGCACTTAGTCAATCATTTGAATTATGTTATTATTATTCATTATAGTATTCTAATTTTACTGTATTTTACTCTGTGTATTTATTTATTTTTAATTGAAGAGTGACTTCACACATTCATTTTGTCTTTTCCCTAGTATATGATGGTTTTATTTATTTTTAGCGGAATCTGCTGTATCCAAAAAGGAAATTGATTCGTTAATGGAAAAGTTAGTTTCACCAAATGTTGATTTCCTTTCTTTTTTTAAAAGTTTTATGAAGTAACCATTGTTGTGAAGACAGTTTCCATTATAAAGTTAGCGTTAGTTCGAGAATTCTTCGGAAGCATAAGCTACTAGACAATTACTATGATTGTAGCTTGAAAGTTCTCATCAGGAGTTACTCATAACTTCATACGGGATTGATCGGAAATTGGATCTGAAATCGGTTATGGTCATTTACAACTTGCCTGCACATAGATATCCCAGATTTAAAACCATTGGGTCAACCATTTGGGGATTTATAATGGATGTGGGGTTATATTGTGATTTTATTTGACTGGGGCTTCGATTTATGGCATTTCTATTTCCTTGGTTCAGTGATTTATGAGATACTCAATGTTAAGAAGTCTCAAGATATAGCGAAACAATAATCTAGTGACTTACGATTCTGAATGCTTGTTCAGTAAAACCTACAAGTTTAGTGCTTGCTGTGGGTCCGATTTCATCACGTGCTCGTCAATACCGAATGTTAATTATGGTACTATTTTCGCGTAAGCTACTGATAATGCATTTAAGTAGCTTATAGTGTAGCATCTTCAGTGTAAGTCACAAGAGCTGGTGAGCCAGATAGAGAAACAGTTCGGAATGGAAGAAGCCAAAGGAGGGCTCATTAACTTTTATTTCCTTTGTTAACGGCCTTTTCATGTTCTAGCCACTATTGTTTTCATCAGTACTAATCCACTGGCCATATATCATGAAATATACTGCACCTTTTGTGTGATAGCTTAGATACTATCTGCCCAAACTACAGTAGGTGGAGCCATTTATCCTTAATTCTATAAACCACATGTTGGAAACTAATTGCTTCGTTCAGTAAGCCTCAATTACATTTAATATGTGAGGTTTGTAATGGCAGCTATTGCTTGCTGTACACTATCGACAGATTCCTTTTAGATCTACTTAAAGAGGCTAGAAGTGGCGAAATCAAGCCAGACTGTCTAGCATAGATAGTGACGAATAGGGGGAGTATATACATATCATCATTCGACTTTAATTGTCTTTGTATAGGATTTTTATGAGGTTCGTAAATCAATCAAATGTCAGTCTATATATATATATATATATATATATATATATATATATATATATATATATATATATATAAAACTAGGCAGCTTCATTTCAACTACAGGCGGCACAGATGAGGACGTCAAAGCCAGGATCGGAAAAGCAAGACAGGCCTTCACTAACATGAAATCAGTGTGGAGATCTACTGCAATCAGCATACAGAACAAGATCCAGTTTTTCAACACTAATGTCAAGTCAGTGCTTGCATATGGTTCAGAAACTTGGCGCGTTAGGAAAAGCATTTCCAACAAACTGTAGACATGCATCATAAACAGCTGGCTCCTACACTCACTCGATGCTGAAGATCGGATGAGATGGCCAGAATAATAAGAGTAAGCAACAAGGAACTCACTCTGGCTGGCAACGAACCAACCAGCCAAGAACCTATCACCCGACAAATATGCAGAAGAAAGTGGAGATGGATTGGATTGGGCATACACTGAGAAAAAACCATTTGGAGACATCACGCATAGGGCCCTCGAGTGGAATCCAAATGGGAGACGACGAGTTGGTTTTCCGAGGGTGACATGGAGGAGTGTTGATGAGGAAGAAATGAAAGCTTGTGGGCAGTTGTGGAGCCAGGTTCAAAAGACTGCAGAGTGAAGAGTGAAATGGTAACGTGCTACTGAATCCCTATGTTCCACTAGGAACTCAGGGGACAAATAATAATTTTTATATATATACTTATTGACTTGTTTACTTATTCATCTATTTATTTATTTATTTACTCATTTATTTATTGACTGACTGATGTGGATTCATTACCTGGAAGAAGAATTATCATCCATCAGTGGCTGCCGATGATTTCATCCTTTTTTTGCCCGTTGTCACTTTTATATATCTTTACCGATGACTTGATGCAGCCTCCAGATTCCACCCCTGCTGGTCACTTAGTTTCTCCGTAAATAGAAGGAGTGGTGATTGAACGGAATGTGTATTTACCACATCAACAAAATATACAAATGACAAGGGTTCCGATTTCAACACTGTAAATGTGTCATCCACATATCGCCACCATATCTTAGGTGTCGGATTATATGTTCTTAAAGCCATATCTTCCCAACTTTACGAACATATAATCCGACACCTTAGATATGGTGGCGATATATGGATGACACATTTACAGTGTTGAAATCGGAACATATCGGCAGTTTCTTGACACATATAAACTCAGTAGTTAACGCAATCCAATTCACTTACGAAGTAGAAAATGAACAAGGAGAATTACCTATGTTGGATTGCAGAATAAAACGAAGGATAGATGGTGGTTTAGATACTACCGTCTACAGAAAACCAACACATTCTAACAGGTATCTAGACTTCAAGTCATCTCATCCAGTGTCATTTAAAGCTGGTTTAGTCAAATGTCTAAATAACAGAGCTGAGAAACTCACTAGTCATTGTAAGGACTTTAAAAAGGAATTGAAGCACATAAAAGAAGCGTTAATAATTAATAATTATCCCCATCATTTTATTAAGAAATTCACACGGACACATAAGAAGCAAAATAATAACACTAATACAAATACAAATAATAGCGACAACATAAGTAGAAAAGAAATCAACACCTCTATTGTGATACCATACAAGGAAGGAACATCAGAAACCATACGTAGGATTCTCAACAAGGTTGGAATTAGGGTGGCATTTAAACCAACAAACTCACTTAGAGGTAAGCTTTGTCGGCTAAAAGATCCGATAGAACCAATTAGGCAGAATAATATAATCTACCAAATTCCATGTGAGGTCAAATACATAGGTCAAACTGGCCGGTCGGGGTCAGTTAGATTAACAGAACATAGGAATTTAGCTAAACATAGAACGGTAGACCCCAATAAGATCAATAACCTAGAAAAACACTCGGCCATTGCATTACATTCAATAACACACAACCACACAATAGGGTGGGACAAAACCACTGTACTTAAGTCTAATACAGCTAGGTGGAGAGAGAGATTAATTACTGAATCTTTGTTCATCGAATCCACACCCAACACATGTAATAGGAATGAGGCAACACCTATACCAGAGATATGGAAAACTTTACTACCAATCAAAAAACAAAGAAAAATCAGATGACAGGACTATAAAATCAGATATCGAAAGAAGTATGATTACATTGATGTGATTATGAGCAATGATAATTTATGCTCGAAACGTAATCAAGTAAATAATACTGTATCACTGTGCTCTTTATATCAAATAAACAAATCTAATATGGAATTACATTCTACCACAGTGCCCAAGTTTTACACTTATACTACTGGATTTAAATTCTATCAATTTTTCACCTCTTCAACCAACTTGATACTTACACGTTGGTTCACATGTTTTTCCCCGAAATTTCAAAGTAATATGATTGGTTGGAAAATGCTTTAAACATATATGGCTTCTTATGAAGATTTTGTCAATCTTTCTGTACACTATAAGAATTCTACCTTCATTATCTTATAATTAAATTCCTTTATGTTATATTTATCCTTCACTTCACTTCCAGTTTTCATATAAAATGTCTTAACAGTTCGCTGGAAATGTATGGTGCAAATTTGTCACATTTTTCAGATACTACTTAATCTTCTAATTGTGATATCAAAGTTCATAAAAGAAACTAATTGTATCATTACTTGCTGCTAAATATCTTTTTACAACTTTTCATTAGGCTAATGCAATACATTGAACAGAGTTGTTCAATGATTCTATGTCGTATAGATGATTGATTATTGAATTGAATATTGTCGATTTACACATTGATACTAGTTTAATACATTTTAGTCTGGAGAGTATAGTCATTTCAGAAGTTTAGAAGTTAGTTATCTTATATCTATCAGTAATGTTTTGATTAACATCTATTTGAAAAGGATAGCTTAGTGCACTAGGCATTAGACTATTAATCGATGTGTTACCGCAACTCCATTATTTGGATGCTTAGTTACACTTTCTTGTGATCTCATGTTGAAGTAGTTATTCACTTATCTTGCTTGTTTATAATATGAAGATTGTAGTTTTTCTTGTATAAATATTATTTCTGTTTGGTTAACTGAATACAAAGATATAAAGTTTACCTCTTTATCTAACACTCTTCACAGGTTAATTAATGCTGAAGATGTTAGTTCAAGCCTTAAAAACGAGTTGAATTTAAAATTGAAAGAAGTTAAGGAGTTACAAACCGCTGTTATTGAATTAGGCAGAGAAAATCAAACTCTTCAAGTAAGCTTTATATATGTATAACCGATAAATTAATCTTGCTTAATAAAGGTTCTACGAGAACGCTTAACAAATCGTCAGTGGACTAAGGATGACGAAGCTATGACATGTTTTGGTTGTGATCGTGAATTCTCTATCAGCACAAGAAGGGTATGTTCATTTTCATCTGACTATGCATTATTTAAAAACGTCATATTTATTCACATAATTCACATCTCGAATGTAGGGTGGCTTTAAAGTCTATCTTAGCAACTGATTAGACAGCAAATTACACTCCTTTATTTTTTTATTCTTATAGAAAAGTACTTTTCCAGATGAAATACTGAAGCCTGATTGGTCTATTCAACAGTTGCTTGAGTGGCCTTTGAAGTCAACCCTAGCAACTAATAAGACAACCAATTACACCTCTCTATTTTATGAAGATCTAACTATCTGAGCCTCAATACAGAAACCTGATTGTCTGTTCCAACAGTTGCTTGGGTGGTCTTTAGATTTGGACGTCTCTAAAGGCCACTCTAGCAACTACTGGAATAACCAATCAGATCTCTTCATTTCTTCTGGAAATGCAGATTCTGATCAAACAGAAAAGTCTAATCGGTTACTTCAGTTGTTTCTAGGGTAGGGCCTTTTATGTCGATCTTAGATTCAGCCTTTAAATGTAGAAGAATACTTTATCAAAGGACAAACTTAGTATTCGTTACTGTTTCCAACTCAGATTTAAATTATGTCAATTGATACCACGACTGACTTTAAAGGCCACCCTAGCAACTGATGAAACAACCAATCACGTTCCTCTATTCTATAACAAATGGACATCCCATACAAAACACCGCAACCTGAGTGTTATGATGCCAGTTACTAGGGCGGCCTTTAAAGTCGCCTGATATCATCTTACAGGTGGATGTAGTTGTTTGCATATCAAATGGATTATTCGGCGTTGACTCTTTGATCTATAGTGATGTCCCATATTGTGTGGTAACATTTGAGATAATAAATTTCCTTACAATCGACCGCACACTAACCTTAATGTAGTGAATAGGTTAGATTTATATACATCTGTTACAAGCTGTAGTTGTTCTGTATGCAGTCGTGAAGTGACTTAGTGGATGACCTAAGTAAATAAATATTGGTGCTAATTACACGAACAACAACTCTCACAATATGTTATGCTTTAATTTGAAGGTTTTTGTGGGTTTATTTATTGATTTCAGTTTGTTATTCATCATGAAACGACATCAGTTGACGAAACATTGGAAACCTAGTCAGTTGTTTCGTCCTAGTGTGCGACTCCTTAACAGACCACAAGCACGACCTCGCTACGGGTCGAACCCATGACCTCTAGGTTAACCGTAAAGTACGTTACTATTGGGCCAATGGTCCACGTTTACTAGTTCTCTCAGTTCACACCATAGCGCAACCTCCACCCAATCCTGTCACTGAGTAACTGTCCTCATGTTCAACTCGTTTAGCCCTATCGGTCACGACTTCTAATTAGAGCTTTGAGAATCTCATCTTGATGCAAGTCACTATAGCAATTCATTTTGGAGGTTTGTGGGGATTTATTTATTGATTTCAGGTTAATATTCATCATAGACTGACGTCAGTTTGAGGACTATTGGAAACCTAGATGCAATGGACAGCTGTTATATCCTAGTATGTGACTTGAACTGTTAGTCGTAAAGAATCACAGGTTGAAGGCTAATCTATGATGAATGCGAGAACGATTCTTTTTTAAACCAACATGTATCAGACGTATATTGTTTTCATGTGCATAAAAGTTAGCAAGAAATAACTTCAAGCAATTTATTTTGACTTTTCCACGGAAAACAGTGGGGTCCTTTTGATCACCCAGCAAAGCAGTGACTTCATTGACCAATTGCTTTAAATGTTTCTTTTTGTTTCGATCACTTGTCAGTTCGAGAAAACAACCTCTCTTTGTCCATACAATTATGTACCTTACTTTTTCGCTTTGGTAACGTCAGCAAAGTTTATACACCACTGCTTAAGAAAAATTCTGGTAAGGAGAATATGGTGTGTTGATAAAAGTTGGTGTATAAGCTAGTCATGTCTAGTTTTTCTTGTTATCAATTTATATTCACGTCGTATGAAATCTTTTTTTTCATGATTTCTTATTGTACCAGCATCATTGCAGGAATTGTGGAGGCATATTTTGCCAAAACTGTTCATTGAACCGTGCTTCTACAACGTATAGCAAAGATCCAGTTCGTGTATGTCAGACTTGCTATGAAGAACTAACTGGCAGTTTGTAAAGATGAATAACCAGTATGGTCTCTGATACTGTCACTGGTCAGTCTTATGAATCAATCATTTGTAAATAGACCATTGTATACATGCGAGCCGAAGATCCATTTTGTTTCTTTACCGTCTCACCTGCCACTTAATTCACTGAGGTTATGTTTTGTTCGCTGTAAAGCATGATTTTGATTTGCTTACTACCTGTTTTATATTTATTATCATGATGCATAATACATATGCTGTTAAATTGACAATATTTCTTGAAGAATACGAGGTAAACTGTGCTTGTTTCGTTAACTTCCACGTACTATGCTGATTTCGACCGCTAACAGGGAATCTTGTGATGTATAGCTTATTTCTTCAGCTTATTTTTCAGTTACTGCATTGGAATTACTTAGCTTACAGCTTTCTCATAATTTTTAAAAATCAACCAATTTGTCAGTTATCTTCATTTTTTGCTGAATTAGGTTAACAATGAAACCTTGGAATCAATCTCAGTACAGTACTTATGACATTGTTGTTCATTCAGAATGCTCTCCTGTATTGATGCTGTTCACTAAAATAAGAGATCGAGTCATAGTTTTCAGCTTGTCAAGGTCTGGGTTTGTTAGTAATTCGATCAGGCGTTCTGAATCTTTTGGCACCTACCTAAATAATGCTATTTGAAACACCCTGGGATTATATCGAAATGTATTCCTGTAATGTTTAAATCAGATACGATGTGGAGTTTTCTCCAGGACATATCCTAAACATAACTGTCTTAGTTATAATTGATCGCAATCTGCTATAGTACATGATGAATTTAATGAGTATAGGTTATTATAAGCGTAAATGCATGACTTGTTACCCACGGGATTCGGAGTTGTTTTGCCTGAATTGTAATTATCAGACTGAGGTAACGAAAGTATTTCACTCTAACCGTAGAAGATAATCAGCGGCAATTTATATCCATTGGTAACAATGATATAACAGAGTGTCTGCGATTTCTTCCACCTTCTCTACAGTGAGGTATAGTAGGATAACCAAATATCTTCTAGATGACTCAATCAATCCTTAGACCTAAGCTTATTTTCAGAAATCTTTGTTCAGTGTTCTATTCAAGAGACTCAGTCAAAGTCATGGTAGCAGACTTTTGTGAAAATGTGAATAACGGATTCACAGTATTCGTTACAGTTAGAGGGTTTACTTTTGAACTTAAGGCACCTTACATACCTTGGTTCTTATCCAGACTTATACCATTGATTTCGAACAGTTATGCCTTGATCCTATTTTATGATGTGAGCTTTAGGCTATTCACTAATACCTTGTTGGTGACATTGTTTGACATCGCTGAAAATAACTCATTCCTCTGAATGTTTCTGGTCACTTGAAGTGTATGCATTGTTCATGGTGCGATTATGCCATTTGAATGTTTCACTTAATGGAGGTATTGAAAATGCATAACATCTCCATTGCTCAATCTTTTCAATCACACGATGAGTGTATTTCTTACATTTGAATAACATTGAAAGTTAGCGATTCAACCGATATTTAACTTATTCAGTTAACAAAATAACCGGAGCTATGACTCATTGGTTTAGACAGTTTAGACAGATTTTCAACCAATGGGTCACGAGTTCCACCTACGGGGGTTTGCGCAGCCAGGTATCTCCATTAGTCCTCACATTAGGTGTCAGGTTCATTTCCTACTGCATGAACGTGTGCAAGGTTCCTAAGTGCGTTTCAATTTTCAACTTCCTAAAGCATCCCGCCGCTAATAACCTGATTAGTGAACACTGCTTTTGGTTAAGAGGTTTTCAAACACTTCATAAGAGTTTGGTAATAATGTTTCATTGTAGACATTTTGAAAGATAACTCGGGTTATCATTACTGCTTATTTGCTCTTTAAATCACTTATCAAACTGAAGAAAATGAACGAAAGATAAGTGTTGACTTGAAATAGCTGGATGACTACTGATTCTTACTAACTTTGACTATGTACTATTTTCACTGAAGTAGATAATCCTGTCAAAAATCCTAACATTGGATATTATGACGATTAGATTTTACCTGAGTTACCTATTCTGTTACGCTTCTCCACTCACCACTGAAAATTCGATCGCATACCTCTGCGTATTTTCTTTTTGCCAAATAGTGCCTGGGAGAAGTCGTAGATGCGTTTTAAATTGACACAGAATTTCTACAAAATTTCAATGACCTAACTGGTTCATACGTTTATTCCCTTCGATGAACATGGACAACATCACAGAAACAGTATCCATCACAAAGTCATATGACATCATCTTGTTTCATAGGATTTTCTTCAGCTCCATATGATCTGAATAAAGGGGCAGCAAATGTTAACTTTATGTGCAAGGATTTGAGATACCAATTAAAGCTTTAAAGACCAGAAAAATATCCCACTTCATAATACAAGAGAAGTTGAATTGGTGAGATTTAGTCGAACATGCTGTTTGAAGGAATGTTTGTGAGTGAGTCAATACTGGCTAAGTTAGGAGTGGTCGGGTAATCATGTTGGGAGAAACTGTCCAAAAAAATGACAAGATGTGGATTACAATAATAGTTAGTACGTCAATAAAGAAGCACTAGAGAATGAGCATCCTGTTGGGTACATAACCCGAGCAGGATTCGTCAGATGACAATAGCTCCCAAGGAGGTGTGCCGGATTTTGATGTGTTAACTTGAGTGGTACGCTGTCGCACAGCTAAATGAGACGTAGACTGGCGTAAATACAAATATAGTTATTTTATGTATATGCTTGCTGCCACATTCCAAGTGACAGTTGCAACTGGCGTTAGAGGTGGAAACTGGTCTGCTATTGAATGTGTAGCTAAACATGGTATTCGATGTGGCGCTACAGTTGATTTGCAACCCGCTTGTTGATTATCTCTGCTATTGCAACATTCCTTGCTATTCAGGCATACTCTGGCGAAGTCCTATTGCTGCTTCTGCTCTTGTCCTATTGTGAATCCAACAATAGGATGTGCATTGCTAGACGTTTGAAAAGCATTGTTGCATGCAGCAAAGTTATCTTCGACGCACGTCGAATCAAAAGCATTCCCATTGATTACAGACTTCAGTGTGGTACTTTCTCTGTGGAGTTTTGGGATTTGTCCTGGTGCGAACCTGACAGACGCAAAGACCAATCACTAATTATTCGGACTTGTTATATACTCACGAATACGAGGCCAAGGAAGAACACGATAGCGTCGTCGGATGGAATAGTATATTTGGATGGTTGTGCCAGGATACCGATGCGTTCCAACTAACTGGCTAGAGAGCCGAACACGAGCAGTACAACGTAACACAACGGCGTGGCAAATGGCGAGGATGCTTGACCAGGTGCCTTCAGCTTAGCGAGTCCAGTTAAACTATCAAGGTCAGCATCAACATCGAAAGTCGTCAAACCCTAGGCTATTGATTTTGGGGGAGTGTGTGACCCTACAGATCACTCCCCCCCCCTAGTGGGTTAATGAGGACCCTAAGACAATACCAGCCGGAAGTAAAAACCCAGTGGTTTCTCCACTGGTAAAACTCTTCCGATGAGCTCACTGCGTGAAGTGGCCCCTGGTTGTCTGAACTTATTCTAGGGTGTCGTGGCAATTAAATAATAAATACAATAAATCGAATTAGACGTCGATCGCGGTCATCAGTTCCTTTTGACGTTCCGTCCAGTGCTCGTTACACCTGGAATATAAATAAAAGTCTTTAATACCACGAAAACGTTTCGTAAAAATGGGAATTATTTGTATATAAACATATCGAAAAATAAAAATTTACGCTTATCTTCACCGTTTTTTTTAGTTTCATTATATGGTAATAAAAATTGATATAAAAAGGCAAAGTGTACGAGGGTTTGTATTGAGGTATCGGGTAGCAGTCCGGAGTTGTTTTGGCGTTAAGCCTTCGGTAATCACCGGTTGGACGCCAGTCGTTGCTATCCTTTTTGGGAACCATGCGCAATGGCGATGCCAAAGGACTGTTTGACGGTCTGATAATGCCCAGGTCGAGCATGTGGTTGAATTCACTCTTCGCCTTTTTGGGCTTATCGGGGACTAAACGGCGCGCTTTGGATGCCACAGGTGGACCTGTGGTTGTGACGTGATGCATAACATTGCTGGTTATGCACGGAAGAGTGTGCTTCGGTTGCTGCAACTCTGGATATTTCTCCAAAACTGCTCGGTAGGACGCGTCGCCTGATTGTTTGGTTCTAACGATGGCTAAACTCGGACCTACATAGGTGGTGCCGCCAATAGATAACTTTGTGTTGTTATCTATCAGTCGTCGACGGCGAGCATCTACGAGTAGATCGTAATGGTTCGGCAAATCTATGCCAATGATGGGCATAGAGACGTCGGCCAGGAGGAAGATCCAGTGGATAGGTTTACGTAAACCTAAGTTGAGGTAGGCATACCGTCTCCCGAATGTCGCGATTGCCTTGCCGTTGGCTGCTTGAAGATTGAAGGATGGGCAGTGATGACGCTCCTTTGTCGTTGCTGGAAGAATGCTAACTTCTGCGCCGGTGTCGACGAGGTAGCGGACTTTCGTTTTAACGTCGGTGACGTAGAGCAAACGGCTTTTTCCGCCGGCTACGGTTGCCGTGAGCACGTGCCGGCGTGACCGTTTCCCGAGTTTGTGTCCTTCTTAAAACGGCATGGTTTACGACATTTTCTGGCTTCATCCCCGCAAGTGTCATGAAACCAGCACCATTCAGGGTTTTCCACCCTGCTAGGTTTAGTTTCGGGGCTACCACGCGACTTGCTGCGATGCGCCAAGGTGCGTTTCCTTGAAGTGCTACGTGATCTAGGACTTCGAGATCGTAGCAACCGTTTCACAGAGTTGCACAACTTGGTCACCTCTGAATCCTGGCGCTCTGGTTTGTCGCAGATAGAATATACGTTGGAGACGGGTCTGCTGGAGATCTCCAGTATTTTATCTGCTGAGGCTGCCAGGTCATCGAGTGGGACTGACTGGAGTGTCACCAACACGGTTTGCACCGGTTGTGGTAGTTTCGAAAGAAATAGTTCTCGGAAGAAACCATCGTCGAATGTTCGTGCACCCATAACTTCTCGCATGCGTGCGAGGACTTCAGTAGCTGAGTGGCTGCCTAGCTCGATGTTACGAAGCAATTCGTCTAGACGCTGGCGATCTGTCAGATCGCTTTTCTTCAAGAGTGCGGCCTTAAGAAGTGCATAAGGACCACTTACTTCAGGATTAAACATGTGTGCTGTAACATACCTGTTTAATTCTCGCGGTAGTGACCGTATGACAGCAAGAAATCGAGAATGAGGATCTGAGACACCCTGTTCTCGAAAATCGGCCTCGGCATACAGAAACCATGTTTCTGCATTGTCTGGCCAATATGGCACGAGTTGGATCGTGTTCGAAGTCGGCTTAATACGAATAAGCTTGGGAGTGTGGTCGGACATGAGAAAGTGTAGTAAATGGATATATAAATGTTATCGAAATGAA